TGTTATCATCATCATATTATGATGATGATGAAATCAACTCCACCCACCCAAAGAAAAAATTATTTGATTTGTAGCTGATGGGGCCAAGATCAAGTGCGATCTGAGATAGCTGAAGCAGAAATAACTTTTACTTTAATTTCGCCTTTCACATAACCTCTTGTGCTCCGGATCTGTACTTCTCTACATTTGCATAATGCATAGGCACAGGCTTTGCTTCAAGGTCATGTAGAAGCAGATGCCCTTCCTAAGGCTAAGCAAAGAGGAAATGCACCCCTCCCAGGAGTAAATCCTCCCTAGCTGGCAGTGCCCAACGCACTTTAAGAATTGCTTGACTTCACGTCAATTCTAAAGCGGAAAGGACATCTCTTTTTCCAAAGGTGCACATTGGGAAGATTATAAAACTTTAGAAGCAACTTGGTACCCATTTTGAAACTCATTTTTTTTAATGTCAACAAAAGAACACTAAAAAATTTTTTTAAAATTTTCAATATGCTTTTGAAATTCATCACCAAGAAAAGGAAAAAAAAGACTCAAGAAGAAAACTGTTTCTTGGTTTTCCATTAATTAGTTTTTTAAAGTTTGGAGAATAGGAATTCAGCATGTTGGCAACTATGTTGTATGCTGTACTAAAATATGCTAGCAATCCTTAGGTTTAATGATTAGAAGATAAAATATGAGATCAATAATATTTATAAGAAATATTTTATATTGCTATAATTTGGTTGTAGAGGATACACAGCTGAATAAAAACATGAAATCGAAAGAATATTCAAACACACTAGGAAAGTGGATATTTTAAAGGGAATGAGTACTTGAATCTGAACAAAATTAAAGTGTTAATTAGGAAAACAAATAAAACTGACTGTGGCTCAAGAACCAATGCTGGTGGGGATAGTCTCCACACTGGGCAAGGGATTCACATCTACAAAGTGCTTAACTTCATCCCCACAACTTCAAAGTCTGAAATGAAGCCGAAGCAAAATTTAAATGACATTTGTCTTTTCAGTTCTTAAAACAATTCCTTTGGCTCCTTCCCTTTTCATTTTAGTAATTTATTCTATTTTCTACCTTTGTACACACAAAGCAAGTGTCCATCAAACCAGTTACCAAAAGCCAGACAGTCTTAAATACAGTTCAGTCAGCCTGCCCGTCAACGGTAACTACCAATGTCTTTATTAATTATAACTCCTTTTGTTTTTTTCACAAGAAACAAAACAGCCTGACTTGGGTCAGACTAACAGTCATTAAACGAAAAAGAAATAAATAAAAAGTTAAAAATAGACGGAATGTGTCCAAACGAAGGAAGAAGAGTACTGCTCAAAACCAGACTCTGTCATTTTAAAAAAAGAAACATTTCCTCACTTCATCTCTGATTCAAACAGAAAACTTCTCCCTGCTTTCCAAACAATAATCCCACCTCAATCCACACTTTCACAGCCCCAGCTTTCCACATCTGATTCTCCCAACAGTGCCTGTGAGCCTCGGTGAAGCTGAAGGGGCGGCTCGCTGTGTCTTTCTCCCCAACACCCCACTAAAGCCACCTGCAAATTTCAGCATCAACTGGGTCTGGAAAATAATAACGCGCTTCAGCTATCTGCCCCGAGACTGGGAGATTTCAAAGATCTTGGCAGACTCAGGGGAAATGGAGGTGGGAGGGCCGGCTCGCCCACCGCGCTGCCTGGCAGGTGGGGCCCGGGGCGGCCCAGGCGGTTCCGAGGCCGCCTTGCTCAGGTGCCCCAGCGTCCAGGCGCCCTGCTCCCGCGCGGCCTCGGGAGGTCTCGCTCCTCTGACCCTGCTCAGGGAGGGCGAGGAACAAGCCGCGCGTGCGACACTTGGGCGGGCGAGGAGCGCGGGGCCCACACCCGCGCAGCAAAGACGCCCGCTTGTGTCCGTGGGTGGGGCGCGGACGGAGCAATCGCGACACCATCAGGGTCCGGTCCAGCGCCCGGGCCACGGCTCGGAAATGAGCTTTCTCCGCAGCAAAGGACTACATCCGACCCCAGAGCAGAAACAGTAACAGTGATGACGAACGTAAAGTCTCGGGAGGGGACGGACCCCGCGGAGGGCGACGCCCCCACGTGGGTGACGCCGAAATTCCGCGAAGCAGCCTTGTCGTGGCTCCTGCCTCGTCCCTTCCTCCGGCCCAGGTGCCCCGCATCCCTTGGAAAGTTCACTTGTGGGGGCAGAGGCGCTTCCACAGCTATTTTCGGCCGCGGAGGCGGGCCCGCGGCGAACCGGACAGGAAGGGGGAGCGCGGGGCGCACGCGGGAGGCTCCACACGGCCGCGCGGCCTCCTCTCCGCCCGCAGTCCCTGGCTTTTTCTTCCTCCCATTCCCCCAGCGCCGCCTCCCACTTCGCCACCTATTTTTCAGTAACCGTCGGGTTTTCAGTGTTGGTGGTGGTTCAGCCATCCCTCGGCGGAGACACAAACACAGCCCTAGTCCCTGGGTTCCTGGGGACAGCGATGCTCCCGTCACCCTCACTCCCGGACCCGACCCCACTCCCGCACCTCCTGACCACATCGCCCCTCCGCGGGACTCGAACTCGCCCCTGCAGCTGGGAGGACAGCGGAGCCCGGTGGCCGGGCCTGCTCAGGTGAGCTTGGGAGTGAGCTCAGCCTTGCAGAGTGCGCCTATAAACACGCAGCGCCCGCTGCACCCCACACCTACAGGGCTTTTACACTTTCCAAGCGAAACTGCGGAACTCAAGGGCGGGGCTGGGGAGCTGGCTCGGCGGGGAATAAAAGTCCAATAACGCTGGCATTCGCTTGAGGTGTCGCCGGTCCTAAAAAGGCCCCGACTCTTCCCCTAAAGGGGAAAAGGGGCTGAGCCCCGGCCCAGAGCCCTGCTCGCCCCCCTGCTCCTGAAGCGACCCGCGAGCGGACGCGGCGGCGGCAGCGGCGGCAGGCAGCGCGCCCTCCTGCGAGCTGGTGGCGCACAGCCGAGGCCCCGGCCTCCCTCCCGGGGCGTGCTGTCCCCCACGTGCTGGGCCCTCGGAGCGGCCGGGGGGGATTGGCCGCGCCGCTCCGAGGGGAGCACCCGGTCCTGGGCAGGGAGGCGAACCGGGAGGCGAAGGGCGCCCCCCACACACACCTGCTCTCCCCCTCCCGGAATCCCGGGGGCCGGGGGGCGGCGACGCCCGGCTCAGCTCGGCTCGCAGCGCGGGGACGCCCCACCCAGGCAGCCCCTTGCGGCCCGGACGACCACCGCCTCCTTCCCGCCGCGACGTCGACGGCCCGGGCGGGACCCCGGGATTCCAAGGAGGGCGAGATCTGGGCTTGGGGTATTCCTGCCCCCCTCCCCTCGGCTGCCGCCTCGGATCCGCTTAAGGCAGCCCGGGGAAGTTTGGTCTTAAAATGGGGGTTCTCCTGTGTGTCCAGATGACTCAGAGCTACAGCTGGGAATCCCGACTCCACTGCGGCCCTTAGGGAAGAGCTGGTGCCCAGCCGGGTCACCGCCGCGCGCCGCGCTGTTTGCTCTAGAGTTTGCAACGCGGTTTGCCACTGTGGCTTTTCCTCGCCGAAAGCCAACGGCTTCCACAGCGATGAAACACGTTCCTCGCCGCCCTCCCTCCCCTCGCTCTACACAGGAGACTGGACACTAATCCCGCGGCCACGGAGGAGGCCCCCGCCCGCCCCAAGCCCGCTCTCCCCAGCCCTCCCCTGGCTTCCTTTTGATGCAGCGGGGAACGCGTCCTACAAGAAAAAAAGTAATCTGCCCGGTAACAATCAGCGCGCAGTAGCAGGAGCCCCAGAGCTATTGGCTATGCAAATAGAGGGAGGGGAGACGGCGCCCCAAACTTGCTCACCCTTTAAAGCGGTCTCTCTCCCGCCCCGCCCCTTCCGCCCGCCCTCCTGTCGGGGGCTGGCTCGGCCGGCTCGCCCCCGCCCCGGGTCTGCGCCTCCTCCCCGCGGTCGCTCCGGCCCGCGCGGCCCGGCCCCGGGAGCCCCTACTTGGGCCCCTTTCCGCACGGGGGGCGCTCGGTGCGCCCTGAGCGCGCGGCCCACGAGGCCCGCCGCACGTGCCAGCCCGGGCCTCTCCCCTTCCTCCCGCGTGGAGCAGCCCCGGGGCGGGGTGGCGGGAGGGAGGGGCGAGGAAACGCCACCGTCCGGCTACACAGCCTCGGCCCAGGATGTGTTCGAGCACACGTCAAGGCCGACTGCGCAGTCGAAAGCCGGGCTGCGAAGAGGCGCGAACTCGGGGGGGCGGGCGAGGGAGCTGGGCGCGGGGCCGAGGGCAGCCTGGGCTCTGGAGCGGAAGGGGTGCGCGTGTGCGCTGGGGTCCCCCCCGCTGTTTCCTAGAAAGCGGTATCTGCGGCCACGCTCGGCGCAGACTTGTCGCGGGCTTGGCAGATGCAGGGGCGCGGAAGACGCTTTTTCTGGGAAGCCGCTCCTCCCGGCCCGCGGCAGCCCCGAGAGCACGCTGGGTTCTGCTCCAGGACCGCTGCCAACCGAAGCAGATTCGCGCCCGCTTTTTCCCCCTCTTCCTTCCCGCGCACGTGTGTCCCAGTCCCCATGAAGCAGCTTGGAAAGTCGGGGCGCGGCCTTCCCTCTGCAAGTTCGAGGTCGCTTCCTATCACCCTGTTTTCCGTGTGAGAGATCTGTCTCCACTGCGCCCCGCCCCCTTCAAGTCCTGCACCTCCATTCCTGGGTCCTGAGCGTGGGCCAGGGATACTAGGACCCAGTTTGAAGGAGCCGAAGTCGGAGGGCTGCGTTTTAGCGCGGGGCACCCAAGAGAATGTGCGAAGTGAGAGGAAATCAATGGGACCCCGTCCCGTGGGTTTCCATGGGCTCCCCCGTCTGGGGCCCCCGGCCTGCGGGGCTGGACGCCGGGAGAGGGCCTCGGAGAGCGAGGGAGGGTGGGGAGCGGGGCCGTTTGAAGTTCAGTCTGGCCAGCTGCTGCTCTCCGTACTAACAAGAGGGAAAAGGAGGGGGGAGAGGAGGGGGAGGAGCCGCGGGGGAAGGGCGGAGACCTAACTGCCCGGCCGGCCTGCGTCACCGCCGCAGAGCGGAGCAGAGCGGCTGGGAGCGCAAGGGACTCGGGAGGGAGCACCGGCGCGGGCCAGGCTCGCCCACCGCCCAGCCCCTCTGCCCTCGCCTCGCCCCGAAACCCCCGATTTAGCCGAAGGAAGGAGGCAAGGGGAACTCTCTCCCCTCCCCTTCGGAAAGATAAAGTAAAGCTTTCGCAGCCCGGAGCGCCCCGGGCGCCAGTGGCCTCCTGGCTGGCCATGGAGCTATTGTGCTGCGAGGTGGACCCCGTGCGCAGGGCCGTGCCGGACCGCAGCCTGCTGGACGACCGCGTCCTGCAGAACTTACTCACCATCGAGGAGCGCTACCTGCCGCAGTGCTCCTACTTCAAGTGCGTGCAGAAGGACATCCAGCCCTACATGCGCAGGATGGTGGCCACCTGGATGCTGGAGGTAGGCTGCGGGCAGCGACGCTCGCCGGGAGGCGGCCCACGCGGGGACACTGCCCCGCGGCCTCCGCGTGGTGTCTCGCGCTCCGCGTCCTCCCCCGGGGGAGGGGAGGGGACCCCGCACCCGGCGTGTGGCTCCCTCGTCCCGTCCCCCCCCCCCGTGTGACCTGCTGCGTGCGGAGCCGCGACTGTTTCCGCGCAGCGAAGGGCGAGGGAACGTGGACCTCGGGCCCCCAGTAGAAGGCAGCCCTGGGCCGAGCGAAGGCGTCCCGGCCTCGGCTCCCCCCCATGCGGCCCGACTCCGCGTTGGCACTTGGGGGGGGGAGGGGAACGGGGCGTCGAGAGCCCCGGAAGTCGCCCCGAGGAAACGAATGTTTTAGGGGAACCCTAAAGAGCCACTGCCCTGCTCCCGACCTTAGCTGAGCGAGCGCCCACGTAGTCGCAGCTCGGGACCTGCCGTGGCTTCGCCATGTTGCTTTGCAGCCTCCGGCTGGAGAGGCTGTAAGTCTTCGCCCTCGCCCCCCGCACCCCGTTATCCCAGCCCCCTCTAGACTTGCCCTCCCAGCCCCCAGCGCTGAGCTACTCACGGCTCGGCCTTCAGCTTCCTGGGCGTGCAGATGTGGGTGGGGTGGGAGGGGGAGGAGGTGTGTGCGTGAGGAGAGTCGGGCACCCCGAGTGGGAGAAGGAGCCCCGCGAGTCCCGGGCCCCGCAACCCGGGCTCCCGTGTGGGCCGCGCGGCTGCACCTCTGTGCCTCCCCCGGAGCCGAAGCTCCGGGCCCAGATACGGACCTTGCCGCGCTCGAAGCCCCCGCTCCGGGCAGCGGGGTCCTCTATCGGGGTTTTCACGTGGAAAGGGCTCTGCGAGGACACTTCCTCGATTTTTGATCATTTTCTGAAAGCGCCCCCGCTCCCGCGGCGCCGCGGCCCCGCTCTTTCTCCTCCTCCCCGTGGCCCGCTCTCCGCCCGCCCCCAGAGCGGCCCCTGGGCGGCGGGGACCCCCAGGCAATTTTTTCAATTGTCGGGATTGATAGAGCAGGGTCCGGGGGTCCGGATGAGGCCAAGAAGTAGACCCCCCGAGCCTCCGGAATATTTTTATTGATTTTTTGAAAAGATGACGAAATGCAAAAAAGTGAGAGAGTGAGTGCACGAAGGGGGGCGGCGGCCGAGATCAGGGTGCTGGGCCCCGCCGCCAGGTCCTGGCCCGAGGACCACCGTGCGGCCGACACCGACGGGCTGCCCTGCTCTGAAGGCCCCAGCTTTCGCATCTTTTGTCGTATTTCACTCTCCCCTCCCTCTCTCTGCCCACAAAGTGAATTTCTTTTTCTTTCGTAGATTGTGCTTTTGCTAGATTGTGCTTTTGCATCCCTTTTCTGCTCGAGGGATGCCGTTTTTCACTCTGCCGGGGCCTTTCCCACTCCCCTGCTAAGGTCTGCGAAGAGCAGAAGTGTGAAGAGGAAGTCTTCCCTCTGGCCATGAATTACCTGGACCGCTTCCTGGCCGGGGTCCCCACCCCGAAGACTCACCTGCAGCTGCTGGGTGCCGTGTGCATGTTCTTGGCTTCCAAGCTCAAGGAGACCATCCCGCTCACCGCAGAGAAGCTGTGCATCTACACCGACAACTCCATCAAGCCCCAGGAGCTGCTGGTAAAGACCCGCCCTTGCTCCTGCCCCTCCTGGCCTACCCTGTCCCCACTCCTAACTCAGGTCTGAATCGCGCAGCTGGAATTTGAACACTGCACAGACGAGCTGTCATAGACTTTACATCCCTACTATGTGCCGGCCAGTGAGCAAAGCACTCAGGCTGTGTCCCTGAATAAGATCCCCCCGAAAGTTTGCGGTGGTGACATTCATTGCATGCATGCCGGCACACGTGTGTGGTGGGGGAATCGCAGAGCATTGAACTGATATTTTAATTGGTTTCCAAATTTTCAAAACCGACCTCTGAGTAAATAGTGTGACCTCTCACGAGAGGATTGTGTCCCCCGTAGGGATATGTTGTGTCTCCTAAGAACCTTGAGGTCAAAGGTAGCATCTTCTAAATCAGTAAAGCCTCAAGATACCCACACATAGTAGCTGCTCACTAAATATGGGTACGCCAGCTTTTGAGCACTGTCACGATTTGGCCTTTTATTGAGAGAGCCAGAGGCCTCGGTTCCTGGCTCTAGGAGGCCTTTTGACCTCTCTGCAACTGGGGAGTCCACCTGGTTCTAGTTTTCTGCCCGGGAACGCTGCCCCCATCCAACTCTCCCCTGCAGCTCTACCTGCGAGATGAGCGCTGGGCCGCTCCCAGGTCCACTGTCCCGGTTTGCACACCTTCCTCCGCCTGCGCTGGTTAGGAGAGCCCTCCCCTCCCCACTGCCCGCCTCCTGCCTCACTGCAGGGCCTGGGCCTGCACAAAGTGCACGAGCTGGGACTGGCTTCTTGGACTGAGCTCTTTGTGAGGCCCCTTCCTTTCTGCGTCTGTGCTGCCATCTAGCGGCAGACATGCGCGAGGCTGGGGCGGAATCCAAGACGCAGAGGGGCCTGAATGACTTCACCTTTGAACCGCTGCCAGGCCTCGGTCCGGAGGCCCAGAAAGGTGCTTGCTTCTGGGAGATCTGCCTCCTTTATACCAGTGGGAACTCGTGGTTCGCACTGTGCTCCATTCCCCAGGGAGAAGCGAGGCTGGGGTTTCCAGCCGTCTTTGAAGACTCTTCCTGTTGCTTAGTGGATCTGGAGTTCTTGCCCCCAACCCTCTGCACAAAGCCAGGGAAGGTTTAAAAGCCTGCTAAGAAAAAATGTTCGGAACCAGGAACCAGTTTGTTTCTCATGAGAGCAGAAAGAAAGAATGTTCGCTTTGGTTCATGGTCCTTCCACGGGACCGTGGACTGGAGGTGTTCACGACACCCCAGTCCTTCCAGGACCAGCCAGGCACACTTGCATTGCTCCAAACAAGCCTGCCTTTTCCATCTCCCATCTGTTTATCCGGACCTGTGATCTGGACGCATCCTCCTGTTTCACACAGAAGGCGGCTGAGGCCTGGGCAGGGAAAGCACATGGCCCCAGCCTTGTGGCTGGTTGCTGCTAGGGTTTAGCATTGGCTGCGGGCTTTGCAGTGGAAGTGATCAGGCTTGTCAGGGTGAATTGGAGCAGCGTGCGCTGCCATGGTGCCCTCTGCCTCTTTTCGGAGGACAACGGATTAAGAGTCGCATTTCTTCTCTGATGCTCGTGGGCCTGTTCCCTTTGAGCACAGTTTCCCACATGTCCCTCAGGAGGGAGCGCATTGAGGCTCATCACCAGCTAGCTGCTGGGACAGGACCAGAAGAGACGGGGCTGAGGGCTCTGTGACCCTGGTTAGCATGACACCTTGTCTAAGGTCGCCTCCATCTGCAGAATGGTTGCCAGTGGCCATCTCAGTCCTTCAGTCACAGTGACGGAGGCAACTGAGGGAAGTGCTGAGTGTCACAGCACTGAGGTTTCTCCCTGGTGTGTCAAGGGAAAGTTCTAACAGCAGAGAGAAAAACAGCACCTTTTTGGCACCAAGTAAAAGCCAGCTAAGTAGTTGCCAAGGAGTTGGGCCAAGGAAGCTTATTTTGCACTTTATCTACGTATATCACTTCCATAAGGATTAAAAAGACCATTAGCGACAGAGACACAAGACATTGCTACCAAAGGGCCGCAGTGACCCCGGCCACATCTCCTGTAGGTCAGTGTTCTGGGTGGGCAGGCTGCAGCGATCCACGGCATTCAGGGTGGGTGGAGCTGGAGGAGAAAGTCCGAATCTTGGCAGAGCCACTGGACTCCGGATTCTCAGGGGAGCCCGACATTCGCAGCTTGAGGAGGGCATCAGCAATCAAAGCTGTAGGGGCTCTAGGGCTTGGTGACAGAGGAGGCCGCCTTGGGATCCAGCAGCCCTGTCCTAGAGAGACACAAAAGCTGGCGCACCTGCCCAGCCCCGGCCCCTCTGTCTTCCTCACCAGGAGTGGGAGCTGGTGGTGCTGGGCAAGTTGAAGTGGAACCTGGCTGCTGTCACCCCACATGACTTCATCGAGCACATCCTTCGCAAGCTGCCCCAGCAGCGGGAGAAGCTGCCGCTGATCCGCAAGCATACGCAGACCTTCATCGCTCTGTGTGCCACTGGTGAGTGGGGCCCAGCCAGGGGCGGCGGCTTGTTGTTCGGGGAGGGGCGGTCTCAACCTAGGGTTGGAGGTTTCCTCCTGGGTTGTTCTTGAACTTTATCAGAGCTCGTGTATTCCATGCTCTGCTGAACCCATAAATGGTTTATGAGGACAGGTGTGGTGAAGGAAAAAAAATTAGAGCTTGTTAAAATGTTCTTTATGATGTCTAAAGTGCTCTTTTAAGATTATATATACGCTTAATGATTGTGTTTAAATCTTTAATCTTCTAAGGAAAGGGATAGCTTGGAGATAAGCCCAAGAGGAAATGTAGGGAGTGGGGGCAAATACAGGTTGAAGGAACAACGTCAGGAGAAACATGTTGGCTTCCCTGATAAGTGGATGGGGCAGAGGGGCATTCTTCTTCCTGCAAGGAGTTTATTGCCCTTGGCTGCATGGGAGAGGGACCTGGAGGCTCTCAGCAAGGATTCGCTCTCAACCTGGGGTTCCTGTGTCCTCCGGGCATTTCTGTCCCTGGAAAGGCTGCATTTCCAATTTAGCCTAGGCCTTTGACATAGCAGCTGCAAGTAGCTTCCTCCTGTGGGGATCCCAGGATTGATGCATAGTTGTTATTGGCCCGTTCAGTTTGCATTTTCCTAATTAAAGGCAGTGGTTTGATAGCAGCTCAGGAAAGTGAACCTTGCCCACTTTACTGTTCTTTCTCGGTAGTGGCCAGGGTGGGAGGACCCCTGGACCTTAGTGACCCAGGACAGCGGTGTCAGGAGTTCATATTCTCACGGTCGGAAGGTAAAGTAGTAGCCACCTGGGGAGACCACTTGGGGTGATTGGGGTTCATTTGGCCAGGGGTCACTGAATCCTGTAGGAGAAGAGGGATTGGTTTTCTAACACATTGTTACATGTTACCCAGGAGTAAGTACAGATGAGTGGTACCTGATGTGCAATAGTGTATCTGCTGCTGTTTACAGTCAGGTCAGGCTTTGTTACTTATTGCTGGGTGACCCTGCACAAGCTGCTTAACCTCTCTGAACGTCATCTGCAAAGCACACCTGTTAGCAATTGTCCTACATTAGCGGAGTGGCTAGGAAAATTAGAGGCAGACCCGGAAATGTGTGGGAGAAGTGCTGGGTACTGTGGAAGGGCCTGTGTGTGCCTCTGGCTGCTCCCACCGAGGTGGCTGCGAGGACTTTCCAGCAGGGCTGTGGGCTCCCAGCCTCCTTGTCCATGCACCGGCCAGGTGTCCTCTTGGGGCTGCTTCAGTCCCGCCCTGCCTTGCAGATCCCTCACCTCATGCAGCCCCTGCTCCTGTGTGGGGTCACAGGCCGCATTGGGCACAGTCATTCTTTGCTTCCTTCCCCTGTGCTCTCTGGCAGGCTAGGCCTCAGTCCCTGGCTGACCCAGTGCTTTCTCTCTAGCCCGGGACAGCGACCCCTGGCCCCAGACTCTGTCGCTGCCCCGCTGCTGACAGCCAGCTCTCTGCTTTGGCCTTGTCTCTGACCAACAGACCTTTGGGGCCTGCTTGCCCTTCGCTCCTCTCCGATCTCTGATCTGGGGGTGCTGGGGGGGAGTACCCACGCATGGGCAGACCCCCCGAATTCTGTAGTGGGCACAGGCCGGTCCTGTGTGCTTGGGACCCATCCGCCATGCCCGGCTGTCTTGCCGGACCCTTGGGGTGGCTGCCAGCTCCGGGCCAGAGACTGAGGAAGGAGGTCCAAGGGAGGTGGAACTTTCTGGAAGGCTGCCCTGGGGCCTTGAGCTCTCTGGTGGGGATAGGGAAGGGTAGGAGAAGGCACAGGTCCTCCAATCACAGCCCAGCGTGGGCGAGTCCTACCCTCAGGGTGTGCGGCTGCTCAGAGCTGAGGAGAGGACGGAGCAGTGGCAGTGGAGTGCCGCTGCCTGGGATTCACCCTGACGGTCTCAGACAGGCTACAGACATGGAGGGCTGCTTGCCTTAGGGGAAGCCCCTCCCAGGAAGGTGAGCTTCCACCCGGCAGGGCAGGGCCTGCTGGAGAGATTCGTGCCCAGGCAGGGCTGTGTCTGGCGGTAGCAGGTAGCAGGTGCAGGGTGATTGGAATGGGCAGTGGGAGGACCCCACACCCTCCTGCCTCTGCCTCCCGCACCACGTCTCTGCAGGCTTCTCAGCAGGCCACCTAGCCAGGTCTGGCAGGTCTGGGTCCACAGGGGGAGCAGGGGTAGCGGGTGGGAAGAGATGGTAAGAGTCAGATCTCGGGCTGCGGGCTGGTTCATGGGGAAAGCTGGTTGTGAAAGAGCTGGCAGAGGTTTCCCAGAGCACAGAGCTGATGTGTGAGAGGGGAGAGCAGAGGGGCCCCGGGAAGGTGGTTTCTAGGGGAGAGATGGCCTCAAGCTAGCTGCCTGGCGCCCCTCTCCTGCCCGTGCTGGGCTGTGGGGGTGTGCGGTGAGGGTCTTCAGCCGAGGCCCCGACCCTGTGGTCTCTTCCTGGAGGCCTAGCCCTAGGGAAGCAGAGCCAGGCATTGGTTCCCCTGGGGTGCTGTTGCAGATGCAGGAGGCCCACCCCAGTGCCCAGGGCTGCACTCTCAGGAGACCCTGCCCCTCGGCACTAGGCTGAGCCTGGTCAGCTGCAGATGCCTGTGCCCTCGAGTTTGAACTCAGAGCGGGGAAAAGGTCGGCCCCTGCCAGCGCCCTGCGTCTGCCCCTCTTGTGTACAGGGAGCCGCCGTGAGAGGAGGCCCCGGGGGTGTCCCCCACAAGCATGGCCAAAGCCCCAGGGATGACGGAAACCCACTGTTCACTTCAGTCTTCTTTGAGCCCTCACCCATGGGACAGTAGTGAGGACAGCAGTGCTGTCGCCTCCTTCCCCTCTGGCATGTGGGGAATGAGGGCCTTTCTCCCACCTCTGCCTCCTCCTCCCGACAGCCTTGGGGCTGACTTGTCATCAGCAGCTGTGGCCCTGGCCCTCGCCCCACCCCAGCCCCAGGAGGACAAGGTGTCCTGGGGGTGGCAGGTGAATGTGTGCACCTGACGATGTCAGCAGCTCTGGCCCTGGCATTTCCACCTGGCTGCAGCTTGGAGGAGGAGGGCACCTGGGGAGAGGCCGGCCTGGGTCTCCTCTCCTGGGAACGAAGTGCTGAGCAGAGCCAGGCGTCAGCACTGAACTCATGGTGCAGGCCATGGCGTGGGTGATTCTAACCCTGCAGAGGCCAGAAAATCTCACCAAGAAGTGCAGGTACCACATGGGAGCACTTCTCGTGGCCCTTGCTCACGTTGGGGGCCCCTTGGACCTCCCTGGGAGGCCGGGCCCTCTGGAGTCACACAGCCTGCAGGTCCCACGGCTTTCTTTACGACTCCTCCCCCTCTGATAGGACAGTGCACCCTGTCTTCCTTAGGGACTGTGGGGTGACTTGGGCTCTCCAACTTCTGCTAAGTTATGTGGGGCTCCTCTTGCATCTCAGAGTCTCTGCTTTAAGCTGCTTGCCAAGAGCCAGCCCTGCATTTCCATGGGCTGTGTTTTTACATCTTATGGAGAATCATCCACGCAGCCCGGAACAGGGCGCATGAGAGCGACCCAGCGTGAGAGCCTGTCCCTGTGGATGCCCCTGCACTCCAGGACATCCTTGGGAGGGTTAGGGCATTGTTAGAGGTTTGTGCCCTCAGCCTTGTACTGTTCTTGTGCCTGGGAGCCCTGGATAGCCCCCTCCAGCTGCTGGCTCTGTCCTCTGGGCCCAGGGGCTGGTGGGCCTCCTCGTGCCGTGAGCATGGCAGGGCCAGTTGGGCAGAGAAGTGGTCTCCTGTGACCCGTGTGTAAGAACCTACAGCAGAGCAGGGGCAGGGGCCTGACTGTCGCGGCCGCCATGGGGAGGCGGGCAGCACTGCAAACCTGGCCCTCGGGGTAGAGATGGTGAGGGCAAAGGAGGGGAAGCCAAGGAGAGACAGGCGGCCAGGCCTCTCGGGCCCTGGGATTCGGCTGAGATGGCAGGGGAGGGCTGTGTGGCTCAGGCACCTGCAGGGTTCCTAAGATACCACAGGCTGGATGCCAGCAGCAGGCTCCCGCCGTTGCTTCCACAGCTGGCACGGCGGCCAGCGTGTGCTTGCAATCCCAGCTACTTAAGAGGCTGAAGCAGGAGGATCGCAAATGCCAGCCAGGCAACTTAGGAAGACATCTGGGTGCGGCTCAGTGATAGAGCACCCCTGATTCATCTCCAGTACCGGAGGGGGACTTCCATAGCATGTATTTTTGTGTGTGTGTGTGTGTGTGTGTTTTTGGTTTCATTTTTTTTTTACTTTTATAAAGAAAAATAAGGTTGTGTTTTCTGTTGGGAGCAAAGCATGAGTAAAAGTGTCCCTCATAGCGTGTATTTTTGTAATAGAGTGAACTGGATTGTGTGGACTCAACCCAATACTTTTGCCATAAACTGAAGTGCGTCTCATCTCCACCCATTCTGCATCTTTCATTTCTACGTCTGGTGAATGCACTCGAGGCCCCTGCAGAAAGAGATACTCTGGAAGGTTTGCTGCACTCAGAACCCTGCCAGGCTCAGGAGAGAGGAAACTGCAGCCTTTCAACCTGTTGGCAGCAGGCAGGGACAACTTACACCCTCAGCCCCAGGTTTCCTGCCCACAGCGTTATTATTTCCCCTCAAAATACTTCCCATCATTTAAACACGCTTATCCCATTGTTCTTGCCACTGTCTGAAGCAGTTCTGGAAGTTTCCTTTCTTGAGTGTCTTTATTTGCACTCTTCTGGCTGCCTCAATGTCCTGCACCCGTCCAAACAGTTACCTTTTTGGTCATTTTGACTGGGGAAGAGCCGGAAGCCGCACAGTGCTGGATCTGGTGGGTGGGGCCACAGCAGCATGTTTCCGTGAGCTGCCTTCTGTTGGACGGCACTTGGCAGCAGCACTCACTGTATTTTGGATCACACCTCCTTGAGGCACACAAAAGAAGACTTCTGGAACCACTTCAGGAAGGGGCAAGAATGACTGGAGTATTTTGAGGGGGATTAATGACAGTCTGTCTTTAATGTAAGCATCTTGAAACTGAAACATTCAGTGTAGCTTTTGGCCCCTTGTGTGGCTGGTGTGTGAGTGAGCTGGGGTGTAACGTGTGAGGTGCCCTGGGTGGGTGTGTGCGTGATCGGCCCCTTTCGGTGACTGTGGCCTGCCTCTCCCCATGTGGACTGAGCAGCTGCTGCCTCACAGCCCTGCAGGCCCTCCAGGAGGGCAGGAAAATGCAATGCCTGGAGCCCCAGGCTGGTCCCTGGGCACCTGTAGCGCCCCCTGCTTTTGCCTTCTGGACAGCTGCACCTGGAGGGCTTTACTTAGGATGCAGCAGCAATGCTGTTGTGCTTGACTAGGTGACATCCACAGGGTCCTCCGCATGGGCTTGGGGTGGAGAACGCTGTGAAACTCCGGCCTGCATTGCCGCTGCCCTCGCTGCACTGACTGTTGTTTGTAAAACTTTGTTTGGGGCCATATTCGTCCTGCTTCCAGTCCAGAGACCACAGCAAGATCTCTCAGGGCGATCGCTCTTTGTAGAACTTGCCTGGTTCCCCACCTGCATGGACTCTGTCCTCGCATCACAGCGAGTCCTTAGCTTGTCCCAGCTGCGGGCCAGGGGATCTTACCTGACGCCCTCAGACTCTTCTGCTCTGTTCCACCATCACCCTGGCCTTGCTGTCCCTGCTGGGGCAAGAATAGTTTGCATGTGACTTAGGGACACAGGGCCAGGGACTTTGAGCCGCTGTGATTCATCAAGCTGCTTAGATGAGCTCATTCTTCCCTCTTGTGTTAAGTCTGGACCGGCCTGGTCTGACCCATACAGAAAGACCCCTCGAGTATGTGCCCGAGGGGCCAGGCCCATTCCTGCCTCCATCCCTGCCTTCCTCCTGCTCCTGATCTGTGGCCAGCTTCCCTCAGAGCCGTGTGCCCTCTGTCCCCTGACCACCAACTCTTGTGCCTTGCAGACTTTAAGTTCGCCATGTACCCGCCGTCGATGATTGCAACTGGAAGCGTGGGAGCGGCCATCTGTGGGCTGCAGCAGGACGAGGAAGTGAGCTCTCTCACCTGCGATGCGCTGACCGAGCTGCTGGCCAAGATCACCAACACTGACGTGGTAGGTGGCAGCCACTTTCCTGGTCCACAGCCCCCAGAAAGAGACAGCTGGTTTGATTATGAGGGGTCAGGAGTTTTGGGGGGTCTTCTGGTGTCTGTTGTCTAAGATCAACACTTAAAGTAGTCAAGAATTCAGCAGGTGAAGCTCCTGTCAAGGTGTTGAAAGACTGCCGTGAAGTGTAGACCAGAGCTCAGCAGGCGAGACAGTGGGGGCTGGCCACGACTTCCCTCTGGTGTGGGCTCCCGTGGACCCAAATTCCCACTCTGCCCAGTGTCGTCCGCCTTGTGGAGAGCATTGGGGCTGCTCTCAGGGCAGCAGGTGGCCTCTCCACCCGACCTGTCTCACCTCACTGTCTTGTGTCCTGATGGGTTAAAAACACTCTGAAAAGATAAAGTGCTACTCGAATTCAGGACACTATTATTAGCTATCCACTTTTTCCATTCTCTGGACAGCCTGGAGCTTGTTGCCTCTGGTTGCCAGAGTTTGGAGCTCCTTAGCAGAAAGCTTTTGAAATAGACCAGAGTGCAGCGAGGCCAAATTCTCATTCGCTTGGGGTCTGAGAGGAGAAGCGTCCTGCAGGAGTGTGGGTGAGGGCAGAGCTGGGCCTCCAGCCCTGAGCTGACTTCAGCCTGGAAGCGTCACCCTCTTCTGCTGCAGCTCCGGTTCTTTTTGTCTGGAAAAGGCCCTGGGCTGAAAGGCAGCCGAGAGCGGAGTGGTGGCTCTGCAGTGCCCGGCGTCACCACGGAGAGGCTCAGGAATGCAGGGGAGCTCCGGATGACACCCTCGGGAGGTTCCAGGGGAATTCAGAGTGCCCACGTGGGGAGTCATTGAGCTGGGATCACATGATGCACAGGCCCCGCTGGCACACCCCCCCCCCCCCCCCCGCCCTGGGCCTCAGAGCCAGGCTGTAGCTGGCTGCTCCCTCGCCTGCCCACCTGTAGTTCGCCAGGGCATTTGCTGCCAGCTTGGAAGAAGTGGTGGGTGTTGAAGGGCCTGAGGAAGAAACCCTGGTCCTTCTCTACACCAGTTTTTAGATTGGATGTTTCATTAAGGGCTCCAAATACAGACTGCAAAGCCTCCAGGGCATCATGAAAAACCTTCTAATCCTGCTTTTCTAATTCTCCAGAGAAAAACGGACAGAACTGAACATTTATAGCAGTGGTCCCCTTCCCTTCCTTGGTGTTGCCTGCTAAGGCTGCCATATAGTAAGATTCCCAACCACTGGAAGACAGGGCCTTCCTCAGCCCCTGGAGACAAATTGGCCCTGACAAGAGTGGAGTCTGGCATTGTCGCCTCTTTGAGACATTTACAGACCTGCTCTGGCTGGCTGCTCACCCATGCAGGCAGCCTCCAGCCCTCTCCCAGACCCTTCTGTCTCTGTCCTCTTACTGGGATAGTGTCATGGCTTTCATGACTGACAACCAGCTGGTCAGCTCACACTGGGGGGACGGTCTGCCCTTCCAGGGCACTGTGGACCCAGTTCATTGTTTAGTATTCCTGTTAATCACGGCAATTGGGTTGGGACCTCTGACAGGGCCTCACTATGTATCTCAGAATGACCTTGAACTCAAGGCTGTCCTCTTGCCTCAGCCTCCCCAGTGTAGGGATTACAGGCGTGCGCCACCATGCTAGGCAAGTTACCTCATTTTTATAAGGGGCCTGTGTCCTGTTTCTTAAGTAGAAATCCATGTCCATGCCTCATTCTCACAGTGTGCTTGGGAATAGACATTTCAATATTAAAATCCGAGCATGTGCAGAGTTAATAGAATGTAAAATTCCTGCCACTTGTTCAGATAAACATCTGAGCGGTTCCAAGCCGGCGCCTGCGCCCCAGAGGACTGCTCGCGCTCCCCAGAATGTTTCAGTGGGAGAGTTCAAGCTGATTGGGCCGGGCCACTCCTGTGTGCAGTGTGCGCCTCTCCCAGGGCTGTGTCTCCCCGGGCTGTGTTTCCGCAGAGCCGAGGTTTATGGAGCTGCGTGGCTGAGACGGAGAACTCATTCTCATGTGGAATGAGGTGGAATTTGCTTCCTGAGCTCTGTCTGCCATTTCTTGAATCAAAGAGGGTGCATTTCGAGTACTTCCCCTCCACTTGCTTCTGAACACACTAATCCCCCAGTTGTTGCTCGCCGGGGCCTCATGAGGGGCAGATGCTCGAGGCCCAGTCCCTGGCGCCATCTTGGAAGTTGGGTGTGGTGGAAGTGGCTCTGGCCTCCAGGAACTTCAAAGTACGGAGACTGGAGAAGAGTTGCAGAATGCATGCAAGTTCAGATTGCAGATAAGTGAGTGCTTCATAAACTTGGTAGTCCATCAGTGCAGAGGGAGGAACTCTGGAGCCCTAATACAGAATCAGGTCTCTTAGCAGAGTCCAGCAGGTTGGAGGCGCCCAGGACTTTAGCAAGGAGAGAGGAGAAGTCAGTGTCCAGTGTCAGAAACTAGGCTTCTGTCTGGGAGGGTGAAACAGTTCTGGAGACAAATCCTGGTGGTTGGCAAACATGTGCATGCACTGAATGCCGAGGAAAAACGGTGAAAATGGTCCGCTATATGTCACATGATCTGTGACCCATGTACATATATACCGTGTGTGTGCACGCGTGTGCACAACAGTCTCAGCCTAGGAAATGTCCCCCTCCCACACACCTCGTGCTCCCACTCGGGCAGTCACAGCTGCCCTGATGAGACTGGGCAGGTCCCTGCAGCCTGCAGTTATCTGGGACAGGACAGACCCTGGCTCTGAGAAAGTGGGCCTGCTGCTCGCCTGTTGCCAAGATAAACTGGAAAGCTCCATTCCAGAGAGGAAGCAGAGTGAGCAGGCCGAGTTTCAGGGAAGAAGAGTCTCAGAGGGTGGTGTATTTTAAGTACTTTTCCTTCCAGTCCTAAGAGTTGCTAAAAACAGGCACTGGCGGATGGGCTGGCTTTGGGCAGACATGTGCAGAGGCTTCCGTTGCTAAGGATAAATCCGAGAGCAACACGGAGTGTCCTGGCCCCCGAAGAACCAGGGTTCCCCTTCCGCCCCGGGCCACTGCACTCATGCCTCTGCCAAGGTTCACCTCGCTGCCCGCCTGTGTACAGGACCCTTGAATGAGACCCAGCTTTCATCCAAGCAGCACTGTCCCTGGGCAGTGCTGGGCAGGAAAAGGAGGGAGGAAGCTGGGGAGGACAAAGGGCAGCAGGCGGGTTCCAGTGTGTCCTCATTCATCCCTGTCCCTGGGAAAGCTGCGAAGACGGCTGTAATCTGCATATTTAGCAGAACCTGTATCTGGGTTCTCTGCATGCTGCCTGACTTTATCTTAGGTCCAGTCAGTGAATTTTCACATTCAGTGACACTTTCGCTGTTAGAAGTGGAGTTGAGGCTCCCAGGCCACAGAGTGCCTGGAAGATATTTAGGGGACGCTGTGGGGACCCTGCGTCCTCCAGCCATTACATTGAGCTCTTGGTAGAGTTCTCAAGCAAGGCTCAGAGAAGATTGCAGATGTCCCTTCCTCAGGCTCGGCCTGGCGTTTCAGGGTCCAGGTTGTCAGATAACCGGGTGGTGGGAGGAGGCCCCCTTTGAACCACGTAGCATTCGGGGTCCCGGCACCCTGTCTGTCTCCCTCTTAGCAGAGCCAGGAGCAGACACGGCGCACTGACGGTGGACAGAGGCCTTCTGGGCCTGTGGGAGGAGGGCGAGATGGGGCTGCAGTGGATGGAACCCAGCGTCTCCCTGGTCCTGCCTGAGCCGCCTCATTTGGTATGCAGGGAACCCGGCCAGACCGCGCGGGAGGAAGCGTGAGATCGTTTCCTCAGTTGTCTGCGTCTGAGCTGGCCAGGCCGGCGCTCATTCAGCCCTTTGTGTCCCGGTGAGAGCCGTGGGGTGTGCTGACCAAGCTGGGGCAGCTCCATGGCAGGGCTTCCGGTGCCCATTCTGGAGCAGAGGAGGTGCAGGGAGCCGGCGAGCCACAGGCAGAGCAAGTCCAGTCCCGGAGACCAGGCTGTCGGCGGTGCCCCTGCCCCGGTGGATGGCGTCGCGGCTTTCCTTCCAGTGCGCCTGATTCCAGCGTCTTCGTGTTCCTGGTGCATGGGGAGCCTGTGCCCTGTGGCCCCGGGTCCCCTGTGTCGGGGCACTGTCCTCTTCTCCCTCTGGAAGACACAGAGGGGCACAGGGAGGAAGTTCCGAGATCCAAGCCCAGCTTTATTGTGTCCTTTTGTTTTTGTCTTCTTTTGGTTTGGCTTTTTGGTGGTTTTGAGACAGGGTTTCACTATGTGGCCCAGGCTGGCCTCGAACTCACAGCAGTTCCCCTGCTTCAGCCTCCCCGGGGCTGGATCACAGGCGTGTGCCAACCAGTCCACCTAGAACAGAGCCTTATTAAGCCAGGCCCAGGTTTAGCTCTGTGTCGAGGGAGGGGCCGCCTGGGTGCTTTGGCGTTCCACCCCTGCTGGAAATGAGGGCCTCGGGCTACCCCGCTCTCTTGGTTCTGGAAATGCTCCGTAGACTCCAGACTCCACTGTGGCCTTGGTGTGGCCTCCCAGCCGCAGCCCTGTGGCTTTGTGGAAGGTGGGGTCACACCTTCTCCTGTTCTGCACTCTGAGAGCAAGACTGAGCTCATTGGCATTGGGGTGCAAGGTCAGGTGGCAGATACCAGAGTCCCTGCAGCCTGCTCCTCTCCCCAAAATCCACGCACCCTCCGGGAGCACAGCAAAGCTCTGCAGGTGAGTGAGGCTGTTTATGCTCAGGGCCTGAGTGCGTCTCCAGGAAGGGGTGCTGCTTGCTCCACCTGCAGAAAGAACGCTGATGCCAAACCAGCCTAGAATAAAATCCTGCCTCAGAATAAGATTTTTTAAAAAAGAATGAAGATGTAACTCAGTGGGAGAGTACTTGCCTAGCACGTCCAAGGCCCTGGTTCTATCCCTAGCACCAGCAAAGGGAAAAAAGTGAGCTGATGATTGTTCCCAAGTGGGTTGGTCATGGGACCTGAAGTGGGTGGGCGAGAGCCCAGACGTGGTCAGCAGCCTGTTCTGTCCAAGGGAAGCTAAAGGGCAGCAGGGACGAGTTAGGGTCTTCTTCCTGGGGTGACTGCTTTCATCTTCCTTTTTCTCCTCCAAGAGTCTGCTAGAGTGGGTGATGGTTTTGTGGAAACAGGAGTGAGGAGAGGAGAGGCTGGGCTCTGCATGGAGCCTGACTTCCCCACCCTGTTTGGAGCTTCCTGTGGGTGCACTTCTGGCAAGCGGAGTCCGAGTGCCCCTCCTGCATGTCTCGGGGGTCCCGGCCCAGCCTGGGTGATCGCTGGGCCACACCCTGGTCAGGCAGCGGGAGCTGGCGTGTGGCATCTGTGGAGGGGATCGCTTAATGAAAAGGAGAGGAGGAGTCAGAACACTCACATTTCGGGACTGGCTCAGTCACATAGTAAATGATGATCGCTTACTGGTCGGAGTCTGTTGTCACACTTGCTCTCAGCTCTTAGCAGTGTGTCGTCCTTATTTTCCATGTAGAGAAATTAAAGTTTAGCTGCTGCCTGCAAGTACAGTGGGTGAGCAGCACACACCAGCCTCCTTGCCATCCTCCTCCTGTTTCTTTTGTCCTGCTTCAGCCTCCTGAGTGCTGGGATCGCAGGCATGCAGCCCCGTGCCTGGCCTGGCCTGGTTACATCTTATGTTCCAGGTGGAATTGCATCTCTGCCCTTAACTCTGTCTGTCATTGTTCTTCATCTTAATTTCCATGAACAGCTGTAGTTTGAAATGTGGAACAGATGAGAGATGGGAAGGGAAATGGGGGCTGGGGTGGGTATGGAAATTCGGCTCCTTTGTAGTTAACTCCAACTTTATTTTAGGTCTTTGGAAAATAAAGATAATGCTTTTGTGCATGGCAAAATAGCAGCCCCTAGGTGGTGAAAATTGCCTAGTGGAACGCACATAAAGGAAGTGTTATTAAACTGTGCAAGGGCACGAGGGGGGGTGCAGCACATTTTCCACATGTGAGGGCCCTTTGGAGAGTGCAGCTCGAAGGGGAGAGGCCGGGACCTATCTGCCAGGAGCAGACTCCTCATGCGAGCCACAGTCCCTCCCCAGCAGCAGCGGTGGCCTGACACTCCCTGTCACCCAGCTAATAGCCACTTCTGCCCAGGGGCAGACATGCTGTGGATTTTCCCTACCAAATATAGACTAATGAAAGCAACACTGCAAATTCTTGCTTATTCCCAAATTGGACAAGCTCAAGTGTCCAGAGTTTTGTAAACATTCTGTATTGTGTTTGTATGAGAATTCAGAGCATAGTGAGAAGGCAGAAAGTCCAGGATCTCGTTACCAAGCGTGTACACGGTTCAGTGAGAGTCAGGCGTTCAGTCCAACTTCTCCCTTCCTACCTGTTCTTCAGACGAGTTGGCTCCTGGCTGGGCAGCTACTGGGCCTCCCCTCGCCCTGCCAACGCCCTAAGCAGGAAGGGAATGGGGCTTCCTTTGCAGGCAGGTGATGCCTGCGCGTAGGTGGCCCTGCTCTAGCCCATGCTTCTCAGAGTGGGTGCCCTGGGCTCCTGCTAAGATGGCATTTCCACTGGGGAATTCGGGTTGGGTGTGATCCTGTCCATCCAGCTCCCTGCACCTGCTGATGCTGGGGCCACACAGCCCACTTGCCCCTAAGGTCCCATGGCCCTTGGAGACCACCTCTCTCAGTGCTGCTGGAAAATGAGCAGTCATGCCAGGGAAATGATGGCTGCCACCGTCATGAAATGCTGTGTGGCCGCTGTGCCCCACTCATGGCTCCTGTCTGGGCCCTGCTCTGCTCTAGGATTGTCTCAAAGCCTGCCAGGAGCAGATCGAAGCCGTGCTGCTCAACAGCCTGCAGCAGTTCCGTCAGGAGCAGCGCGATGGATCCAAGTCGGAGGACGAACTGGACCAGGCCACCACGCCCACCGACGTGCGGGACATCAACCTGTGAGGATGCTGCGGGCACGGGCGCCATCCGCTCTCGCCTCCTTCTGATTATGTTTGGTTCTTTTGTGTTTTAGGATGAAACTTTAAAAAAAATTATGCCCCCACCTAGATCATATTTAAAGATCTTTTAGAAGTGAGAGAAAAAGGTCCTATAAAAACAATAATTAAAAGCTTTTGGTGCCTATTCAAAGTACAACATAAGGGAATCCCTTGTATATTCAAAGTTACTGTTTGATTATATAAAAGTAATAGTAAAGTGCATCAAGAAAACCTGCAGAGTAGCTAGGAGATATGTACACCTGCAATATGGGAACCAGTTAGAGGAGAGACTGTTTTTGATGTCGTGAACTAGCACCTAGGCCCCTTTTAGAATAATTGCAAGAAATGTATATGCCATCTATGGCAAGAGTAGATTGCAAAGCAATGGACTCAAGAAGGAATTAGAAACAAGGAGGGACTTGGGGGGGAGGGGTGCAAACAGTCTGCCCACGTGACTGAGCCATTCTCGTGCAGAAGCACCTCCCTGCTTCCTGCCCAGCCGCGTGTACTAGGCAGGCGTTGAGGTCTCGCCGGGGGTCTGTGTGTTTGTACCTGTGCTGCAGTAGCTGCTACCTAGGAGATGTTGCATTTTACCAGGGGCCCATAGGCAACTGGCTCCTGGGTCTCACGTTTGGTGACTCCCTTCTTCTTCCAAGCATGGTTCATTGCAGACACTGCTGCCGTGTTGTTAGCAAGGGGGGAATTTAGCTATGGGCCGTGGCCAAAACTCATCTGAAATGGAGGCAGGCAGAAACCGAGGCTGGACCTGGAGTAGAATCTCCTTTTCTGTCAAAGAGGGTGAGGTGGAATCCTTGATTAGGAAGTAATTACTTTTTGGTGCTGATCGGTGTCTGGCCCACAGTTTAGCATTGTTATAAACCATTCCATTCGAAAAAGCACTTTGAAGAATTGTTCCCAAGGGGTAGATGGGATGGTTTATGCAAAGCACGCTGAATACTCCTTCCCTCTACTCTTTGTCCCTTTGCTTCTTGCCCCCAGTCTGGTTTTGTTCACTTCTGGAATCTGAGCTCTCTGGTACAGAGCCTTGGTGTCCCTACCAGGGCTAAGAGATGACCTTGTGGCTGACCTTCCTGTCTCAACATTCCTTGGAAATAACGCCTCCAGCAGCTCTGTTACCTTTGTCATGCATGGAAGGATCTGAACTCCATCCGTGGCCTTCTCCTTGGGACACGGAAAGAACAGTTATTGCTGGTGCCAACAGACGGCTGAACAGCAGGGTGTGGCACTTTGTCCCCTTTCTGGTTTTTGTTCATTTTACTGCAAAGTTGTATTCAGCGTACTTGAATTTCCTTTTTCTCTCCACTTCTTAGAGGCATTCAGTTAGAGGGTGGAGCCACAATTTTTTTTTTTTTTTGCACAATGGTAATTGACAGGTAATGAAGCTATTTGTTAAAATACTTGCTTTTTTTAAGTAAAAAAAGAAAAATCACAACAGTGCTACTTTGAAGAGTTGTTTTATATGCAGATTCTGCCTTGTTTCATGGTGTGAGGTTGAAGATGGAGAAACATCCAAGGGACTCTTCTCTTTCATTTTATTTTGTTCAGTTTATTATTGTTATTTTTTGCGCTGCTAAGAGGCTAAGATCATTCATCCTTATTCACGTTAACAGTACCTAGCTGTAATGTTCACAGAGTGTGCTGCTATTTTATAAACATTTTTATAATATATTATTTTACTGCTTAAATTCAAGTCCTGAAGTAGATGGTTAAGATATGAGTTCTTTGTACTGGAAAAGCCCTTCCATAGTTTGTTTTCTTCTAGTAGCATATTCATGGTTTTTCTTCAGTTTTTTTTCTTTTTGGTTCTTCTGTTTTTGTTTTTCCCTCTGATAACATTCTTCAAAGACAGTGTTCTTTGCCTCAGGTTTACTGGACAGAATCAATACTACGAGGACAGTGGTTCACAGTTTCGTTTTCCTATACCTCACCGACATGCAGTGCTACGTAGGAGCATGCCCGGCAGGAGCAGAGCAGGCACAGCTGGGCACCCTCTCCTGGGAAGCGGGGCGTTTGCCGCGGGTCTCACACACAGGGCCCTCTTAGGACCTGAAGGTCACGGGCTCACTGACTCCGGTCCTCATCATGATGGAGAAATGCACCGAGCAGGCGCCTCCCTCCCCTGCAAGCGCACGCGCACACTTTCCCGTGACGCCCACACCCCATGGTGGGTCGGAAGCTGTGGTGCCCATGCGGCCCCAGTACCAGGAAGCCTCGAGGAGAGCTGGGCAGGCTGGCGGGACAGCGCTGTCCTCTCACCTGCGGTCCAGTGCCTCGTGCTGCGTAGGGCCCCTTCGCCCTCGAGGCGCCTGCCTCTGTTTGCACCCTGCCCAAGCGTGGAGTCCTGGGGTTCCTTCTCCTTCAGGTCTGCAGCCCGGGGGAGGACAGGGAGTGGGATGGGCTTGGAGCAGGGGAGGTGCTGCCCAGCCGTCTCCCTGAGGGCGTGGGCTCAGGACCTCCAGTCAGTGCCACCCTAAAATGCGGAGGAGTTTCCCGTGGGGCAGTGAAAGAGGAGAGATGAGCAGCGGGTGAGCTAGGAAAGCCCGAGTCCTTGGGAGACTGGCAGCCCGAGAGAACACGGGGCCCATCACTGAGCAGCAGCCAGCCCTTGAGTGTGAGCAGAAGCGGCAGACACAGGAACCTGACGGGGAGAGGGGCCAGGTGCTGCGGGGTAACGGTCCACTGACCCTGGGGCCCAGCTGACCCTGCACGCTGTTCTGTCCTGTCCCCAGGGCAGAGCTGCCTGGCTTTGGTGCTGCTCCCTGCTTGTGCAGGAGAGGGAATCCTGGGTCTCAAGTGATCAGTGCCCTCTCCCCGAGCCCACCCTCTTCGGTAGGAGTTTTCATCCCAGAGGGGCTCGGCTCCCCATGGATCTGGACTTGCTCTTCTTTTTTCTTCTGTTGCTCCCCTCCCCTCCTTACCTCCCACAGAAGTGATTACAGTTTTATTCTGGCCTTTTTCTGTCTTTTTGTCTCGCTCTTCTTTATTTTCTCCATTTGTCTTTCTCTGTTAGTGGGGCCTGAGTTGTTCCCCCAGCCTGCCAAATTTGGTCCTTCCCCTGTTTTAACCAAATCCTTGGGGAAAGAAATCCTAGTATGCCAAAAATACGTGCTCAGCATAAGAAAATTCCTTGCAGGTTCAGGAAAGCCAGGGAGCCAGCAGGAGGCCGAGGGGCAGTTCCCTGGGCCAGGCCTTGGTGGTGGTGGCTCTGTGTGGCCACCTCTCGTCCACTTGCCCGGGAGCCCAGCTCTTTTCCACTTCTGGCCACTCGGCACTGCTGGCAGCAGGGGCAACTCCTCAGCAGGAGCTCGGCAGCTTTCCTGCCATCCGGGTCTCTGCAGAGGGTCCTAGAGGTCTGGGACTGGCGGGGAAGATGGGAGGACTCTCCCAAGTGGGCAGGGTTGGCGGACTGCTCAGAGGGCGGGGGCTTTTCCTCCCCGTGGCCCATGGGGACAGGGCTGGCTGGGAAAGAAGTAGACTTGCACCTTATGTCCTGTAAATACTGATTTCTAGTTCAAGAAGGTAATGTTGGTAGGGTGGGAACTGGAGGGGGAGGAGGAGTCTGAGTCAGCCAGTTGGCTCTGAACCCAGAAGGGCTCCTCTGTCTTCAAGACGGACTAACGTGGGGAGCAGCTGTAAAGGGAGGTTGAGGCCAAGGCAGTGAAGCCCCCAGAGCCAGCAGACCTCCAGAGTGGTGAGCACGCAGCTCCTGTTGGGGGAGACTCAGCAGCTTCCGAGCGCTGAGCACGCATTCACCAAAGCCATAGTGGCCTGGCTCGCCTGGGACTCCGATGACGCAGGGGTCACGGCGGCCAGAACGGTTCTCCTCACCGGTGGTCTCTGCTCTTTAGACCTGGCTGGGCTCTCGGACCCTGTTCTCGCTCAGGTTTCAAAGCCATCGGCAAAGGTGTGTGTGTGCCCGGAGCCGCAGCCCACTCTGGGAAGAAGTGCCTTACAGACTGGCCACGACCGTGTCCGTGACCAAGTCCGCTGTGGTTTGGCAGGTGCCTGTCCTTGGGAAAGAGAGGTTTCTCCGATTTTTAATTGGTTGTAGTTCTTCCTGCTGGCTACCCAGACATCCGGCAGATCACCAGGCTACATTCATTCCCCTGTGTCATGTACCTCAGATCTCTCTCTCTGTTAGTTTCTCGTTTTGGATTTTTTTTCTCCTTCTTTTTAAATTTGCTTTAAAACAAGTGTGATGCCATATCAAGTCAATGTTATTCTCTCACAGTGTACTCTGTAAGAGGTGTGGGTGTTTATTTGGTCGGGATGCTAGCAAGTGCTAAAGTAGCATGATCCGTGCGAGCAGAAGGGTTTTTAGGAAGTAAGGAAAAAATGTTGTATTGGCTTTGATGGTGATGAAATGTAGTCAGCTGCCTTCAAAGAGGTTTTATCTGGTCAGTGTTGCGTCATTTTCAAAAGTAATAACCTGTTCTGACAAGTGAAGATGGATTTGCAAAGGGTGTTGAATGCAATTAGGTTATGCTATTTGGACAATAAACTCACCTTGACCTAACTTCTCTGGCCACCGTTGACTTATTTGCAGTCCCGCAGTCTTCGGGATAGAGCGCACCTGTCTCGCAGCTGGCAGTGATGGGCAGTGGTGTGCAGTACAAAGCCTGGCCCTAGAGGCAAGGCTGTGCTCTACTGTGTCATTACAGTAGAGGAATTGGGCTGGGGTGTGGCTGGGGGTGGGGCACCTTCCTAGTAAGCACGAGCCCCTGAGTTAGATTCCTGGTACCAGAAAAGGAAAAGGACCAAGAAAACAATGGAAGCAATCGGAAATATTTTCCCCCTTTTGGGCCACATAGGCAACCAGATTATAAAGCAGAAGCCTTGGTCCATTCTCCCAGGTAAGTAAGTCAGGCATGCTTTGACAGCTGCTGGTTATTGCCAGGGCTGCGAGGCAACATCTCCTGTTTTCAGTGCTGGGAGCCCCCAGTCCCTTGTCCAGGGTCCAGGCAGTCTGTAGGGGAGCCTGCCCACTGGTCCCAGGGGCTCCCATCTCATGCCCGATTCTCCTCGAGTCCTTCAGGTGAGGCCTGGGCCACGATTGCCCTGGTTGGAAGCTGGGAAGGCACTGGCAGAGGATGTTCGCTTGGACACAGAAATGCATGGCTTGGCCCCAGTCCCAGCCACTCTTGGACTCAAGCTAGCTTCCCCAGGAGGTGGTTAGCCATTTCAGTGTTTCTGTACAAATTCATTTCCCCTTCGGTTCCCCATCTCTTTCAAAGTATCGAAGGCTGTTTTCAAGTTTAATTCTTTCTTTAATTAAAGTTTTATGGAACTAAAATTTGCATTCTATGTAGTTTACAAGGTGCATGATTCAGTGGATTTTAGCATATTGACAGAGTTGTACAAACATGACCACAATCAAATTTAATAATTTTTGTTATTCTAGCACAAAACACTACCCATTAGCTCATCATCGCCCAATCTCTACCCTCTTAATCTTGATAAACCACTGAGCGACTTTGTCTTCATAGATTTCTTTCCAGTTTAATTCTGACCTGAGTTGCAAGCAGTAAGACTGGAACATCCTGGGGAAGTCCAGATGAGATATTCCCTGTTGAGCTCAAGAAACACTGCACAACAGTCAGGTGATAGAGAACAGCGCTGAATCAGCTGAGGGCCCAGAGGGTGGGAGTCTGCAGCGTTGGGAGGGCAGCCTTCTCCCACCTTAGCCCCAGGTAGAGGGGTCGCACGGTCACACAACACGCCCAGCAGCTCAGACCTCTTCCTCCCAAGCCCCATTTCTAAGTGTCCTTAACATCTGGGAGTTAAGTTTCCAGTGCATGAACTTCGGGGGGAACGTGTAAGTCAGCAGGGTGACTCGTAAGCTTTAAAGGCAGCCAGAAATTCCCTCTCCCATTGCCCGTCAACGTCCACAGTTCGGAGACAGGACCAGGGCCAGTTTCTGTTTCTGTCTCACGAAGGCTCTTGGAGTCTGCAGGCCCTTTGGCCGCTGCTCCTCTTCTGCATGGCACAGGCTCAGCGGCATCCCAGCCTCCACCTGCTCCCCATGGGTTTCTCTCCCAAAAGTTGTGCAGTGGCACTGCTGGCCTCACTCAGAGCAAAGGCTGCTGGGGCTGGCCAAGAGCACACTGAGCACTGGCCCTGCGGCAGGCCTGGGACCCCCAGGCCTGTATACGCTTCCCCGCTGAGCATGCAAAGGCCCAGCCTTCAGGACCTGGAAATCCCAGATCTGTGTGTGTGTGGGGGTGCACCCCCCGGTGAGTGCTTTTGTGTTTCTCACAACTTCCCAAAGACCTGAACTCTGGGAGGTACCACAGAAATGGGGATTTCCAGTTGGCTTAGGAGAGATGTCCTAGCCATTCTGTCAAGCGAGTACACACCAGATAATTTCTCCCCCACGCCCTGAGCAATAACGATGGTGGATACACTGTTTGCTGGGTGTGAGGGCACAGCGTGCCAGGCTGGGCACATGCCCCCACCCTGGGATGTAGCAGGCCTATGAGGAGATGGAACCCAGGGGCCTGGACTGCTGCAGAGGGACAGCAGCGAATGCCAGCCAGGTACATCGATGCTGGGGCCAGGACCTTTGTGAGAGGCCAGACTGGTTTCGTCCAGCACAGGTTCCGGAAAATAAGTTTATTCCGGTGTCAGCGTGCAGCAGTGGGGTTTGTAAACAGTAGTTTGATCTTTTTCAAAAATAAAGGGATGGAAAGTTGATTTTTAAAATGAAGGGAGAATATTCAAATGGACCATATAATGGGTTTTGCATGCTTATCAACACTGGGGTCTCCCATGTTACATGGCATAAACTTAGCTGGAAACATGGGCTGGGGACCATCACCTGTGATTTCTCAGGAAGCTTACAGGAAGACAGCCAGAAGCTTCCAGAAGCGGGCCTGGTTGCCCCGAACCAGCCGACTGAGAGCACAGTAAGACAAAGCCTGACTTGTTGGCCTCTGACCATCCTCACCCTCAAGCTCTGAGACATGCCTATCCAAAACACACCCTCTGTTTCCTCGGGGTAATGTGCTTTGGCCCTGGCGACCCCACTCTGGTGACAGTTAAAGCCCAGGTGGGACCCAAGGTTTAAATGTGCAGCTCTTCCCGGCAGTCACCAGGGGCACTGAAACACGGGTGGAGCCAAGCTGTGAGGGGCTGAGCCAGACCCCAGGACAGCGAAGGAGCCCAGGCACCCCCACAGGGCTACACCCCACCCGGGCCCCTTGCTGCGTGCCACTGCCTCCATTGGGAGGCTGGTGACTTGCTGTGTCACCTTGTCCCGTGCGCCATCTAATCCCAACATGGCAAACTGGCAGCTAGCAGAGCGAATGCAGCCAGCAGACACATGAGTGAGGCTCCCACCGAGACTGAAATCGTCTTGGACTCAGCTGTGGGCCGGCAGACTTTCTGGGAAGTCAGGATGCTACCAGCTCCGGGAAAAGGAGGCCCTGAAGACCTCGGCCTTGGCTGCAGCCCTGGGGCCAGCAGCCTCTACTCTCCCGTTGGGACTCCCGCAGGTTGTGTGTGGTCTTTCCTGCACACCTCAGGGCTCTCTGAAAGCCCCGGCTGGAGTTGGCTGGGACCTTCTTGGAGAAGGAACAGGCCCAGGGCCTTTGGAATCCTCATCAGACACCCCAGGGTTGGCCCAACTCCCGGTTGGGGGTCGGGCAGGTTAAAGGTCAACTGTTTTCACAGTCCTTTTCGTAGTTACAAGAACCCAGCTCAGATGCTCCTCTGAGGTTCTAGACCTGTTGACAGGGCCCAAATCTCAGAGGCAGCACGGCCCCTCCTCCCATCCCTCAGCAGCTTTCTAGACACCTCCTTCACCCACAGATCAGGGCTGGTTCCGGGCCTGGCATCCTCAGCGGGGGGACTGCAGTTGGCTCCTGCTTCTGTAGTACCCACTTTGCCAGCTGAGAGGTTCCTTGATCTCAGGCTAATGACAAAGGCGGGTAAGTCCCATGACAACAACAAAAAAACCCATTATACAGATTTAACACAATCTCAACCAAAATGCCAATAGCATTCCTCACAGTACTGGAGAAACCAATCCTAAAATTCATACAGAACTAGAAGAGACCTAAAACAGCAAAAGCAATTCTGGGTAACAAGGTCAAGGCAGGGGGGCATCATGAGTCTACACTCCAAGTTATACTACAAAGCTACTGTGATAAAAATAGCGTGGCATTAGCAAAAACAAAACCAGACTTGTGGAGCAGAACACAGTTCCAAGTGCACTCCGCGCCTTATTGACAGCAGGTCAAACACCCTCACTGGAGGGAAGACAGCTCTCTAACAAGTGGTGCTGGGAAACTGGCTGTCCACGTGCCAAAGACCAACTCTAGACCCATGTCTGTCCACACACTCAACTTAAATCTAAGTGGATCAAAGACCTAAAATTAATCTACCTGAAAACTCGTGAGGACAGAGGTGTTGGCAAAGGCTTTCTGAGCAGAACCCTGCTTGCACAAGAAACACCGCCAAGAATCAACACATGGGATCGCATCAGATTAAAAAGCTTCTGCACAGGAAAGGAAACCACTAACACAACAAGGAGACAACCTACAGAATGAGAAAAAATTTTTGCCAGCTACACCTCAAGGGGCTAATTAATATCTAGAATATGCAAAGAACTAGAAATCGGTCCCCTTCAGTTTAAAGTCCCAATTTTAAAAATAGGCAGCTAAAATGAATAGACACTTCTCAGGTGAAGAAGTAGAAACGGTGTTCGACATCACTGGTCATTTGAGGAATGCAAATTAAAACAGCTCTGAGATTTCGCCTCACTCCAGGAAGAATGACGGTTGCTGAGAAATCAAACGTAACGCTGGCGAGGCTGGCAGACGGTGGCTTCCTTCTGTGTTGTTGGGACTGTAAACTGGTGCAACCACTATGGAAATCAGTATGGTCCAAGCATTGAAGAGGAAAGACACTCAGTTTATCCTTTTCCCAGGAAGTCTCGGTGGTCTGGTATTTTCAGAGCAGTCAGTCTCATTTTTCACTTGTCACTGTCACCTCCCGAAGAAGAAGAGACTATGGAAGATTGGCATTGAAATGGCAGCTCCTGCTGTCCTACTTGCTTTACAACAAGACTCAGTTTTAGAGCCAGGAGACCAGGATGCGAGGCCTCGAGGTTGCTTCTTTTCCCTAGCATTGTCTGAGCTGTGGCCACACCGGGAGCCTCGTCCTTCTCACTGACCCCTGTGGTGCTTGCTCCCTGCCTGGAGCATTGCTGTCTCCATGCACATTTATGTGTGTGCACCATCACTGCAACAGGGAGAGCGAAGAGTTTAATTCATGCAGCAAGAGCTGGGTTAAACCCAGGGTTGCCATGTGTTCGCTGTGTGAGCTGCAAGCCTCTGCTTGTTCCTTTATCAAAGAAAAGACCTTGCTGGATTATCAGAAGGATTAAGAGAGGAGTCTATGTAAAGCACCTAAGTCAGAGAATGTGTCAGCAAGAATCAGCCAGCCTAAACAGGCACACACCCGTCAAGCACTGTTGGTTCTATTTAACAGATGCGATTGACATTTTCCCAAGGA